CCTTGGGGCCTGATTTTTGAGGGATTTCCTGCCACTGAACCAGGCACCTCAATCACCACAGCCCTGCCTGACGGGCTAGACCATTCTCCTTAGCGCTGTAGGGCATGACGGAGGCCTACCTCATTACAGGCAATACCAAGGCTCTGGAGATAGCTCCGGACTTGCCCCTTTCTGTTCCCACTGGCTTCCCTCTCGCCCGCTGACAGCTCCAGGGAGAACCGGACAGCGTCATCCTGCCAAAAATAAAAAGACAAAAAAAGCCCCCAACTGATCTCTTCAAAGGCTGCCAGAGAGTAGAGATATGGGGGATGGGTGCAGCTGGCACAGGTGCCTCTGAAATTCCCTCTTAATGTTCGCCTCATGCCTAGAGACCTCACCAAGATCCCAGGCAGGGCTGGGCAAAGGATCGATTTTCCCATTCACTGGACATTCTGAGAAGTTGCGGGGAGGAGGGGAGAGGGAACCAGTTTGAGTTGAACCCAGTCCAAAAATTGTAAAAATTTGGTCAAATAGAACAAAAGCAACTCTGGGCTGAACACAACACATTTCTCATCAGACAAATAATTTACCTTCCCTGACACAGACATTTTCACTGCTTCTTCTAGGTTTCCTTGAGGACCCTGAGGGGAGGTGGAATTCTTCTGGAAGAGACAAACGGTCTCTTTAAGGAGCGTCTAGAAGAAAGGGCAGAGGACAAATCAGAAAGCTGTTTTCTTCTGTCTGTAACTATTTCATAGAAAAGGAATGTTGAATATAGGAACATTGGGATATTGAGCGGGAATTGAAAAGGGGAAATAAAAGAGCTAGGAGCCCAAATCCTACTGAACCTCAAACAGGAAAGCAAGCCCCAACCACGGTGAGTTTAGAGGTTCCACTTTCCAAATATAAATGTAGTATATGGGAAATAGGAGAACAAAAGGGAGAGGTGGGGAAGGGGCGGCTTTACTGTGTAATGGACACTAGGAGGCAGCAGAGGGTGGGGGGAAGGGGCGGCTATACTGTATAATGGGCACTAGGGGGCAGCAGAG